CCCGAGTGAACTTGTCACCCCAACCCTGTTTGGGCGGCGAGCGAATTTTGGCTCATCTGCAGAGCCTAATGGACCCACTGCGGCTTCAGATGGCCCTCCGGGATCCATTGCCCCCGGTGGCTCGTTAGATGAGCTAGTCGAGGATTGGCATAGCCGACTCTTGGCGGCCATTGACAAGATCGCTCCCAGACGCCCTCTGTGCCCTCGCTCAAGGCTGGCTCCTTGGTATACCCAGGAGCTGAGGCTGATGAAGCGAAGGCTCAGACAGCAAGAGAGACAGTGGCGGTGGGTTCACAACGAAGTGACAAGAGCATCCTATCGAACATTTATGAAGTCATATGAGATGGCAACCAAGGCTGTGAAGAAGGAATTCTATGCAGCCACGATTGCGTCTGCAAGCTCGCGCCCGGCACAATTGTATAGAACAATTCGGTCTTTAACCACCCTGCCACAGAGCAATCAAAATGTTAAGGAATTGGATATAGGCTGTGAGGCTTTTGCAAGCTATTCTGCAGATAAAGTCTTGTTGCTCTGCTCTGACCTCCCGGCCACACTTGAGACAGTACGTGAACTCAAGGCCCCATGCACGTCTTCTGGTCCCATTCTGGATTATTTCAGCCCTCTCAGCCTAGAGGAAGTTGACAGATTGATCTCAACTGTATGTCCAACCACATGCAGCCTTGATTGGTGCCCCTCCTGGCTAATTAAAGCTGGCCGTGAGGGGTTTCGAGGCACCATTAGGGACATTATCAACAGGTCCCTCTCAGAGGGCCTATTCCCAGGGGCTCTCAAGGAAGCTCTCTTAATAAAACCATCTTTGGACCCGGTCGAATTGGTCAACTATCGGCCGGTCTCCAATTTGCCCTATTTGGGCAAATTAATCGAGAGGGCAGTGGCGATACAGTTGCAGAGCTTTCTGGATGGCACTTCCACTCTGGATCCTTTCCTGTCCGGCTTCCGTCCTGGTCACGGGACGGAGAAAGCACTTGTCACCCTCACAGATGACCTCCGGAGGCATCTGTATGGGCGTGGGACGGCGGTGTTGCTGTTGTTAGACCTGTTGGCGGCATTCGACATGGTCGATCATCAGCTGTTTGCCCACTGCCTCGCCGACATGGGGATTTGGGGGCTGGCCTTGCAATGGCTTGTCTCCTTTCTCCAGTGTCAGGGACAAAGGGTGGCACTTGGGGAGGAGAGGTCCCGAAGGCACACACTATTTTGTGGTGTGCCCCAAGGGGCAGTGCTCTCCCCAATGCTATTTAACATCTATATGCGCCCCCTTGCCCAGATTGCCCAGAGGCATGGGCTTGGGTGTCAGCAATATGCAGATGACACCCAGCTCTATCTGTTGTTGGGCGGTCAGTCTACCTCTACCCTGAAAGATCGGGACCAGGTGTTGCAGGTTGTGGTGGGATGGCTCAGGTTGAGTTGACTGAAACTGAATCCAACAAAGACGGAGGTCCTTTGCCTGAATCGGAGTGGTTCAGGGTTAGGGGTCCCTCTTCCAGCCTTCGGTGAGGCGTCGCTGGTGCCAGCGCCGAGGGTCAGGAGTTTGGGAGTGCTCCTGGATGCTTCCTTGACAATGGAGGCCCAGGTAGCAGCTACTGCCAAGGCAGCCTTTCACCATCTTCGGCTGATTAGGCAGTTGGTCTTCTTCCTCGAATGCAATGATCTGGATTCAGTGATCCATGCTATGGTCACCTCGAGGCTAGACTACTGTAATTCTCTCTACACGGGGCTGCCCTTGGGGCAACTCCAAAAGCTGTGGCTGGTGCAAAACGCAGCAGCCAGGCTGCTGATGGGCTTCCCCAGGTGGGAGCACATCCAGCCTGTGCTGAAGTCATTGCACTGGCTGCCAATAGCGTTCCGGATTTACTTCAAGGTGTTGGTTTTGACCTTTAAAGCCCTAAATGGTGAGGGGCCTGCCTACCTGAGGGACCGCCTTTCCCCGTACATTCCACAGAGAGCCCTGCGGTCTGGAACACAACACCGCCTGCCCCCCCTGGGCCTAGGGACACCAAGTTGGCAGTAACTAGTGTTGTAAAATAGTCAAAAATTGTTTAATACTCAGGCTATTTGATGGATCTTGCTCTATTGGAAAGAAGAGAGTTCTTTGCCTTAAAAAAAACCTTTATTACTAAGGGTAAAGGGTACACGGGATTGCTACAAATTAACATGATACTAAGAGCTACATTTCTAAGCTTCCTACACACAAGACAAGCACACACGTAATGGAGATTTGTCTCCTTCTTCTTGACCCTAGAAAGGAAGTCACCTGAAACAAATGACCAATCTGCATCAAAGTAGAAGCTACTTTTCCCGGGCAAATCCCCCATTGGCTTGGTGCCAGGTATCCCTTCCAGGTCAGTCTAAACAATAGCAAACTAGGAATACAAGTTAACCCTATAATGACTGAATCAGACCTTGTAAACACATACATTTCCAACAACTAGGACCAGGGTTCTCCCTGGTGGTGCCAATGCTGTGGAACGAGCTCCCCAATGAGATTAGAGCTCTACGGAATCTCCAGCAGTTTCGTAGAGCTGTAAAAATGAAGCTGTTTCGCCAAGTGTTCCAATAAAAACTGACTGCTCCGGTGAGGCCGCAATAGCACTTTATTATAGGATGCCGCTGTATTTATTCACTTAGTCTTATTGTATTTATTGAAATTGTATGCATTGCATTTTATATTTTGTATTTGCTGGTTTTAAACTGTGTGTTGGTTTTAAAATGTTTGTAAGCTGCCCTGAGCCACCTTGGCGGGAGGGTGGGGTAGAAATTTAATAAATAGATATTTTTGCAAAACCCCCAGCCCCTCGAGGAAGACAACAATGAGGAAGGAAGCCCTCCATGGAGGCCCTGCAGTTAGATCCAAAAAACACTGGGGATGGGGCAACCTGGGGCAGACTAAGCAGAGCCCACCACCATGACTCTCCAGACCAGACCTGTGCAAAACACACAGGGTCATGAAACCATCCATGAAAAGTCCTCCTGGATAGAACTTCAATTCAATAATTTGCTAAAGGAAATTGTTTTCTTACCTGTAATGATTTTTATTTCTGACCTATAGAAGTTATTGCTTTTAAAAAAAACATGCCCTTGAGATAGGGAAACCTGGGTTTAAGTTGTTAAGTTGTTTAAATAAAGAATGCAAGTTCGCAATGGTGCTGAAAACCAGGGCTATTTTTGGGCAGGAACGCACAGGAACGGAGTCCCGGCTGGCTCCCAAGTTGGCCACGCCCAGCAGGAACTCATTAGCATAATAGGCCACACCCAACAGCAGAAACTCATTAGGATTGGCTACATTAGGGGTGTGTGGCCTAACATGCAAAGGGGTTCCTGCTACAAAAAAAGCCCTTGGTTTTGACAACAAGCAAGGTAAACAGAGTAACAAGCAAAAGGTGGGTGTGGCGGGATAACCACACTTCTGGTAACATGGGGGTGTGGCCTAATGTGCTAATGAGCTGTGCTGTCAGGGGTGTGGCCTAATATGCTAATGAGTTTCTTCTGTTGGGTGTGGCCTATTATGCTAATGAGTTCCTGCTGGGCTTTTTCTACAAAAAGAGCCCTGCAAAACCATGAACAACAGAAGCAAACCCCTCCAAGGTTCCTGCCTTTAAAAAAACCCTGACATGCACATTTCTTCATCACACACCCCACCTGATCATTTAATGAGCAAACCATTTTTTACAGGTATGCAAGTAGACAAGTTAATTCCCATAACTTGATCCCATGAATCCCTCAAGAATGAGGAATTCATGACTTCAGGAACTACCAATAGCACCTCCTCCAGCTGACCTCTGAAAAGGTTTTGACTCTGTGTTATTGACCCAAGAACTGAAAGCCATACAATGAACTTTGTTAATAAAGCTTTATTTAGCACATGTACTTCAGTTCATTATTGTTTTCTTCTTTAATTCCCCCCCAGTTGCTGAAAACAATAGAACAGTAGCAATGAAAGTAAATGTAAAGTATCAAAGCATCAAAGTATGATAGGTTTAAGTTGTTTAAATAAAGAATGCAAGTTCACAATAGTGCTCAAAACCATGAACAACAGAAACAAACCTTGGTTAAATCTGCTACTACCCCCCTCCTTGTGGGCAGAATTCCAAAACCAAAAGCATCATCAAGTGGTTAAAGAAACAATAGCAAGCAAATCTAATCATAGTCAGGATGAACATGTGGATGTGGTGTTAGATGTTGAAATGATTGAGTGGGCTACACAGAAATGTCAAACACTGCTGGGAAGATGAACAAGTGGAGCCGTGGCTTCATGTTAGTGGGAAGTCGAGCAACATTTGAATGAACATGCGTACGATGTCACTTGGTGCTCTGAGGTGAAGCCTCCTTGGTGAAAATCTTTTTTCAGGAGACAGAGACTTGGGCTTTGGATACAGCGGAGTAAACAGGCTCACCATTGTAGTGCATGGGACAGTTCTGTAAAATAGTTTAACTCTGCCTTTGAGTATATCACACATAAAAGTCTGGTCTGTGGTTGCTGCAGTTAAGTGGAATGCTCTTGACCTGGTTATTTGTAAGTGTTGCTTTCTAGCTTTCCTTCTAACCTAATCTTTTGGTCACATCATGAGAAGATGAGACCCACAGGAAAAGATAATAATGCTAGGAAAATTTAAAGGCAGTAGAAAAAGAAGAAGAGGAAGAAAAGAGGAAGATGGCCCTCAGTTTGCAAGACCTGATCAAGGCTGCTTGGAGGTTGTTAATTCATAGGGTCACCATCTGTTGGAAGCAACCAGGCAGCATATAACACACACAATCTTTTAGCCTTGAAATAAATGACTTGAGACCCCGAAAACAGCTGCAAAAAAGAAGTGCAAGTACATGGCTTCATGAAACCTTTACAGCAGTTTTGAGTGCTAGATAAAAAGTGAACGTTTATTTGAATGTTTTAAGGCACGGCTTGTAATCTGTGTTCAAACTGCAGTTTGATTAGTGTGAAGACTGCTGGCAAGACTTCTCTGTTCAGTTCCTGGCTGAGCCTCTCATTTCGGAGAAAGAGCCTCATAGGCTGGAGGGGCAGGATGGCCTTCAGCACAAGCCACACCTCCACTGACAGTATAGGGCACAAAAACCATGTCCTGAAACAAACACACAAACATTTATTTATTTAAAACATTCTAATGCTGCCTTTCCACCAAATTACTGTCCACAAGGCAGTGAAAAAAAACATTGAAACATTTAAATAGATAAAAATACAGTTAAAATTATAAATGAACGTCCTCCGTGGCCCAGTAGGAGTTGCCAGAGGTTGCCATGACTTCCAGGCATGGGCACACACACACACACACGTACACACACATGCAAAAATGCCAAAAAAAACCCCAACAACAATACGTAGACAACATCAGAAGTACAGCCAACAACCGTTACTGGGATTATGCCAGATGAAACAAAAAAGTCTTGACCTGCAGGCAAAGGACACCAATAGGTGGAGAGATGAATCTCCCTGGGGAAGGTGTTCCAACATTTTGGTACCACAATGGAGAAGGCCCTTTCTTGGGTGGCCGCTGACCCATCTAACCTCAGGTAGTGAGGGTAACCGAAGCAGGCCAGATGCCCCGAGCCAGTGTGTAGGTTTATAAGGGAGGAGGCAGTCCTTCAAGTACGTTGGCCCCAGGCCTACTATGCTTGACAGAAAATATTCTTTTTAGGAGTGGTTTGGGAGGAAGGGGAACTTTTTGTACTTTCTGCTTTTTGTAACTTTTTTAAAAAGTCTGGACAGGTTGTACTCGAGGACCATGTACAGCCTGCCAAAGTATTTCTACATTTCAGTTTATTTTGTTTTTTAAAATGGTGTGGGCCTGCTGGGGGTAGGAGAGAGGATGGGAGAGGTACACCACCAACCACTAATCTTGCATTTCTGTAGGATACGCAGAGAGATCACAGTGGAATGAATACATTATTGCTGAGCAGGAGCAGGAAATGCTTGACAGCAGTGCTTCCACTAATTTGCAGTAAATGAGAAACAAATGCACATTTATTGTACGGATGTATGGATGAAGATGAAAAGCAACGGCTGAAAAGAAATGACCTCCGTAATCTGGTTAGCAGTTGGTCCTAAGTTTTGTCCTTAAAGATATAAATACATGCCAATCGACCCTCGGAGCACCCATCTTTGCCCAACTTCTCCTCCATCCAAAAGTAACAGCAGCGAGTGACAGTGGATTCAATGGGTGAAGCCACGTGTGCAGAGGAAAAGACTGAACCTTTTCTCCCCTCCCCAGATGGCTGCGATCCAAACAGGGGCCTGAGTGCATGAGTGACACTAGTCATTTAAGATGTTGGGACGATCTGATCATGGATCTCCTAGTGATCCTCATCATAATCGCAGCTGGCAGTTGCCAAAGACCATGCCACATGGGACCACCTCCCAGGCTGGATGAGACTTGAAATCCAGAACCAACATCTGTTCTCAGAAATCATCTGACGATTCAGAAGGAGCTGTAAGATCCTTGTAGCACCCTGAAAGCATTTCCCAGTCACATGTTATTCACATGCATAAGGGGAACATCTCCATGAACTATCTTCTGATCTTTCAGATTTCCAACACCATCAATTTAAACACTGAGCAAGGTATCAAATGCATACCGGGTCATCGTTGCAGCAGGTAACCTGGCATCCAAAATGTGCTGTTGAAACAGTGATGCCAAACTCCAGCAAACTGAAGAAGAGGAGCAGAACACCAAGACCAACACCTACAGGCTGAAGAGCACAGACAAATGTAAGTGATCTATTAAGCACCTCTCACTGCCAGCAAGTTAGTTCAATCTGCAGCAATAACAAGCATCCTGCTAGCCACTTTCTAGGTCCAGATATCTGGAAAACACCAGTGGAAGAACTGGTGGCAATTTTGAAATATTTGCTCATGAAGTTTGCCCATCTTGTTTGAACATAAACCTGTAAAACCCACAGTAGTGGCTAAGAGCCTGGCCAGGACCTTCTCAGGACCAAGCTACACCATAACACAGCATGTTCTCTGCCAACTCCCGATCGCGAAATTCCTAGAGATCTGGGGGGGGGGGAGCCTGGGGAAGGGGATGTCTGGGGAGGGGAGGGACCACAGTGGGAAATAATACTATAGAGTCTGCCCAGAGCGGCCATTTTCTCCATGGGAAATGATCTCTGTTGCCTGGAGATCAGCTGTGATTCCGGGAGATCTCTGGCAACCCTGTTCTCTGTGCTCAGCACACTTCCCTGGCAGCCACACGGCAGCTGTGTGTGGAACGCCCTTATGAGAGCCTGTGGGGAGGGAGCCCAACTCCGTTTGGGACTGTGGCGGTGGCTGGGGAGGGGCTCCTGGCCTTCCCCTCTGTGCTGTTTTCCTGAGCTCCTCCCCCATGCTGTGGCCCCCACGGGCTCCTGCAGGCTTTAGAAACAACATTCCCCTCAGGGGCTGTGTGGCTGCAGGTTCCCCAGGCCTGACTCATTAGAAACATGTCACAGAGTTTGGTTCGACGTCCATTTGGTATTTTGCAACATTTCAAGTCAAGGTTACGTTTACAAGCCACATAGGGTTCCCAACCCCCCAATGGGGGCAGGGATTCCCCTGATCTCGGGGGCCCCAATCCACCACCAGCAAGCTGGCTGGCAGGGGGAGCCCCACCCCGGTGCAATGACATCACTCAGAAGTGACATCATCACACCAGGCACATCATGTAGGGGACACCATAGAGTTTTCAGCCAAACGCTAGAGCATCCCCTGCAGAATGGGCCCAGTGCAATGACATCACTTCCAGGTGATGTCAGCACATTGGGGACATTCCCACCCACTCCCAGAATGCCTCCCAGATCCCCCTGCTGGCAAGACAAGGGGGCCCGGTAACCCTACTGCAAAGGAATGCTTTGCTGTTTTAGAAATTGCATATGGCAATATTGCTTCAGCTTCTGAAATGAAACTTACATTTTATGAGACTTATCAGCATGTTAATGAACCCTCATCAGCATATCTAAATTGTTTGCATCCTTTGGCTATGGAAATACTAGAAGACAGGGGGGTTACAAAGGAAGAATTTAAACTTTATGCACAGGAACAATTTTTAGAGGATGCTGGTGTGAAGCATTGTTACTGTCAGAATCTAGGGTCAGTCCAAGCCAAATACCAGAGTCAGAGTCAAAGGTCAGTCCAAAGGTCAGTTACCAAGACAGCAGAGTCCAGTTCAAAGCATCATACAGGAAGCAAGATCCAACAGGCCAAGGTCATTCACAACATACAGGCTCCCAGCCCTGGGTTTTATAGGCACTCCCTAACAAGCCCTTGTTAGCACCCAGCTGCTTGGGAGTCCTGCTGCAACTACCCCAGGCTGTCATCAGCAAGCAGCTGGCAACAGGCCAGGAGACGAGCACTCTGCTTCCTTGCTTGCAGCTCCCTTCTAAGCTTGCGTCTGATTGTTCCACCAGCGCACAATCCTCCCGTCGGGATGGTCTGATGTCAGACCATCTCGAGCGGGTGCCATTTTAAAAAATCTCTACGCATGTGCAGATCAACAAGGACGCGCTGTGACGCCAATGCGCATGCGCAAACGGTTTTTTTTTAAAAAAAAAACACTGCACATGCCTCCGTCAGTGGACACTGTCTAGACAATCCACAATGGAGGCAGCGCGCGGTAAGGCGATTCACCAGGGGGGTCTGGTCATGGTACGATGGATTAAAAAGATCAGGATAAAATTCAAACTGGCATAATGGTGAAATTAGCTGCCCGTCTGAATGCCCCCTCTGTCATCTGGAGATCATTTATAATTGATAGGGAGTTCTTCAGGACTCACCTGGAGGTTGGCAACCCTAGCATAGAAAGAGCTCTGTGTTCTTTAAGGGGGGGGAGAGGAGAGAGACTTTGGGCTTTCTTGGTTGACTGCAAGCTGTAGCAACAAGGATTAGCTACGTACATGAGATATTCTAGTCCTAAAGGATATGGGGTGGGACTCTTCTCCCAATGCCTGCCCTGCTGTGCCAAATTTCCCCTTGCAGTCTGGACTCTTCTGCTTGTCTCCTACTCACCAAGCCTTATCCCCCGACCTGAGCAAATCTTCCCCAAGGTGCTCCTCTTGCTGCTTTCCAGCTCAGATGCCTTAACCTCCTTGGGCCACCAAACGCCATTGCATTGTCGGTCTGCCTTTTCCTTGTGCTACTGTTCCTCAAGCTGTGGCTGCCGTGCTGTTTGTGTCACTGTTTGGAATCTTTCCTATCCATTTCCCCATAGACTCTAATGTTAAAGATGGGTACCTTTCATTGCCTCAAAAAAGACAGGGGGATTCTATTTGTCTGAAAGTTGATAGCGTGGGTGTTATAATAATTGTCCTCGAGGAATACTACAACCCTTCAAGTTTTGTCCAATTTGGGGTGTGTCTTTCCTTGAAACCAGTGGGAGAGAACAACAATATAGAATTATGAAAATGAAGCAGCAAAAATGGAAGGAACAAGAATGAAACAACACCTTATGATCAAACCTAACAATGAAACAGTCCCTTTTGGCATTAAAAACAAAACAAACAAACTTGTTATATACAAGTCTAGAAAACAGAAAACTGCTCAGGTTGCGAAGTATTTCAGTCCCATTAGCACATGTTCCTTCTGTGACTCCAACCAATACTGTAATGTATTAGAACAATTACATGAATCACCTCATTGGACTCCCATGTTAAGCTTCGAGCCAAGCTAGGGCTCCTCTGAACGAATTTCCTATTGGTCGCTTTGTAACAGCGACCAATCAGAACGATGCTATTCCCTGGGAGGGAAAGACTCCCATTGGTCTTTAACTCATCAGTCTCATTGGTTGTTAAATGTAAATAGGCATGGCTATATTAGCCCGGTAATGTTTAAAAGGAGCATAGCTCCCACTGTTTGGTTGTTCTGGTTTTGGAATGCGTTTGAGTGTTTGCTTGCTACTTCGAATAAAGCTGAATCACTGAGCTAAAATCATTCTCCGATCCTTTGTTAGCGCGATCTAACAAATACAGTCAAAGGCATTAGTGCTATTTGTTCACTTACATTTGTGTCACCTGGTAGGATATTCACAATCAGTTCTGAGATATACAGAATTATGCCAGTTAATGCCATCACAGCACTTGTGATGTTCATTCCCATGCTACATTTCACCTGAAAGAGTCCGAAAATCAATTAAGCTTCTTCAAAGAACATTGATAGGTTTGATTTCTAGTGTATCTACCATTAAAATATGCTCTAGGCAAAGCTTCCAACTGTATCCCTGAGGATGGTTCTTGTAGCTAGAGTGTAGTAGAGAAGACAGATAGGAAAGGAATGTCATGTCACATGAAAATATATATGTTATGAGGTTCATATAATGTCTGTTTTATATGACTAATATAATTTGGGGAAATGGGTGATGGTTTTTGTACATTGGGTTAGGTCTCTTTCAATGGGATGGATCCTGTCAGATGTTTCCGTTGATGTAAAAGGGTGATTTTTACTGATTCCTCTCTCACACACCAGCCCACTTGTTTCCTCATTCCCATTCCCACCCCCACCCCCAGCAGCATTTCAGTGGCCATATTTGGCTGCTGAGGCAGGGAGATGTCCACTCCGTGGACAATCCTGTCCATCATGAGACATTACTGCTGGATCAAACAGAATGAGTATTTCTGCTTATTGATTTTGCAGCCTTGTGACTGCAGATACCTGGATGGCTCCAATGTAGTCAAGGACATTTTCACTTCTATGGATCGGAGCTCCTGACAGTACCATCGATTGTGTCCAGTCCAAATTCCTACGTAAAGTTTTGGGCTTGCCAAAGTGTGTCCCATATGCAGTTCTTTGCTTAGAAACAGCCCTGAATCTAGTCAAAACCAGAGCATGGCTTATGACATTTAAATATTGGCTACGTCTACATTATAATTCTGACCCAGGGAGCCTCATTTACTAAATGCTCTCAGTGTCTAACATGTCCAACTGGATAACATATATTGAGAAATAAATTAAGGCCATGGGTATATTTTTGGGTTCACTGACTATGCTCCCATCAGCGGGTACATTCCAGTTGATCAAACAGAAGATGTTGGATATTGAGCGTCAGGAGTTACATAGTCTCGCCAACAAAACCTGCTCTCCTCAGAGCTTTGAGATACCCCTCACTGTAGGTAGGATGTATCTGGCTGAAGAGAAAGCTCTGCGGAGTTGTGGCGCTTGTAGGGAGGATAAATATGAAGCCTGACACATATTCATATCTCAATAAACAAATCATTTTCAGGAGAGTGTTGTTGACAGTAAGTTTGTTCATGAGTCTGACACACACACCCTTTGACCCACCAAGCACAGAATTGGCAGGGATGAAGGGGCGCTTTGGGTTAGGATCCCCTGGGAGAGAGGCTCCAGGGAATAGAGTGGACCTGAAGCTGCGAACAAACACACAAAAATAGGAGGAAAACGTCTCCCCACAAAAGCACTTCCACTCCCTCTTGACACATAATAAGATACCTCTGCATCCCCTAGTGGGACATGGGGCTGGGAATCCTGATAGGCAACAACCCAGGTCTCTGTCTTCTGAGGGCATTAAGGGAGGGCAAGTGACCACAAATTCTCCCCTGAATCTTAATTTGGGCTGCGGTCACACGTAACAGAAGCCACACAAGTGAGACGGAAAACAGCCGGAGTTTCCGGGCGCGATCTCACCAGCACATCTGGGAAGCGTAGCACTTCCGTGGCTCAACCGAGGCTTCCAGACGAAACTGCGTGGCAAAAAACTAGTACCTTGGAGGTACTAGTTTCCGGAAACTGCGGGGCAAGGGCGGGCGTCTGATCGCGTTTCCGGAGGCATCCGGCGCCCGCCCATGTCCCCTTGCAAATAAGGTGGGTTTTTTTGTCCAAGTCTCTGTGGATGCGCATGCGCACCCAACGGAGCATGCGCATTTGTCATGTACACAAAAATAAAAACAGTTTGCCGCGGCGCGCGCTTCTTCGTTGCTTTGATTTGCTTTCCCATCTGTGGCATGCATTCATCCTCATTAAACTGATTTTGTAATGCTGGACTTTGGATCTGATGATGTATCTTTGTGTTTTTTCGGAATAAGAATTACATTTGCATCCCTCCATGTTCTGGGGATTTCCTCTCCCTTTAGAATGTTATTAAAAAGTTTCGTCATTGGTTTAACAATTTGAGCTGTCAGCGCTTTATAATACTCAGTATTAAAGCCGTCAGGGCCCAGCGCCTTATTCCTCTTCAGGGCCTTTATAGCTGTCCCCACTTCCTTCTCAGTGATAGGTAAATCAAGAAATTCCCTGTGCTCTATCGATAGAGGTTTCAGATCAGATTTAGATTGTAAATAACTGCTGATATCAGTATCATTGGGTGAGGAGGACGTATAAAGATTTGAGTAGAAGTCTTCCATCGTTTTTAATATTTGAGGTGTCTCTGACTGTAGATTGCCATACTTATCTCTAATGGAAGTAATGATCCTTTCCGCTTGTTGACGTCTGGCTCTCCAAGCTAGAACTTTGAGAGCTCTGAATCCCTTGGTGTTTGACTTCCTCTTGAGCGAAAGCGATGAATGTATTTGGGCCGCAGCTTCTAGAGATTCTAATTGTTTGCGCAGGTGCAGCAGTCGGGTATATATTTTGGGGCATCCGGTTTGTTTATGTTTATTTTCCAGAATTTCAATATTAATTAATAAATTTTGCTCAACAGCTTCTTTCTTTTTTTTCCAGGCCGCAAAAAGAGCAATGCATTTGCCACGAAGCACCGCCTTAGAAGCATCCCAAACTCCATGTGGCGAAACTCCACAATTTTCATTATATTGAAAGAACTCATCAATTTCCTTTCCTAATTCTTTAAGTATATTTGGGCTTTGCAATAAAAAGGATTTGAAACGCCATTGTGGTCTGTTGTTAATAGATTGACCCCATTTTATACTGCATGTGACTGGGGCATGGTCTGACCATCTACAACTACCAATACCCGTAGAGTCAATCTGTGTCATCAGGTCCGCTGAGGTAATTATATAATCAATTCTGGAATACGTTTGATGTCGAGAAGAAAAAAAAGTATAGTCACGTGAAGTAGGATTACAGACCCTCCATATATCACAAAGGCCTAGCTTATCAATTAATTTCTGAAGTGGACTGGGTGAGCCTTTCTTAGAGGCCTTAAAGGACCGGAAATGTGGATTAGACCTGTCTAAGAGATCATTCATGGTGCAATTAAAATCCCTAATATCAAAGACCCTTTCCTAAAAAATTGTAACTTCGTGAGAGTATCCTGAAGAAATTTCATTTGTGCTTGGTTAGGCGCATAGATTGAGGCCAAGGTGGTCCGTATTCCATTCAATAAACCATTTACAAAAACATACCTGCCCTTCTCATCTATGTCAGACTCCTCTAGAATAAAACTAGTGTGTTTGGACACTAGTATCGCCACCCCTCTCGCTTTAGAGGTCCCATAGGCCAGGTACTGATTTGGAAACCATTTGGAATTGATTGCAAGGCTATCTTTCTTTATAAATGTTTCTTGCATAAAGATAACATTGGTCTTTTGTTGCCTAAAGTATGTAGATAGACGCTTGGCCTTGACCTTGTTGTTAAGGCCTCTACAGTTTAGGGATACTATATTTAAACTATTAAGAGCCATTGTTTATCATACTTGGAGCGCAGGCACATAAACAGTACTATCACTCTAAATCTGCAATAATACCCGCCAATATACATTTTAGGCAAAGACTTTACCAAATTTCTGAGCATGGAGTTCAATACAACTAGCTTGTAGCTTATTAATGACATAACAACCCTGAGTAACCTTCGAGCTCTACCCTTCCAACACCTCCCCCACCCCCTCCGGCACAAGGATAAACTCCTTGTTGGGCAAGAAATGCCCTCCCACGAGAGGTGTCAGAAAAAAGAACACACAAAAGAACAACATTGGTTACACACACTTTTAAAGGAAATGTGAAACCAAACCCCCAGCCCTCCTCCCCCCCCCAACCCCAGAGAGCATAAAACATAGCATGTCAGTAAGGTCAGAAAGATGAAAATTGCAACAATGAAACAAAACATTCAATAAAGCCCTCAGGACGCCAAATCACTCGTCAGCAATAGTGCTCTGCCAAACTGGGATCCTGCTCCATCGCGCAGGAACATCCAGATCCTCCAGCCTTCTTTTCTTCATGTTAATCGATTGCTGCTCAGTCGGGGAGAAGTCAGTTCTCAATGCCTTCAGTATGTCTATGCCCGAGTCAAAATCATCGGCTTGATAATTGTTGCCGTTGAGGCGAACTTGCATGTAACCTGACGGCAGCCATCTATATCTAACTCCCACTTCTGTCAGTTTCTTGGTAATCGGCTTCAGGTTCCGTCTCAACTGTAAAGCCTCTGGGGCCACATCAGGGAAAACGGAGATCTCCTCGTTGTTAAACATAAAGGAGCCTTTATTCTTCGCCATTTGTAAGATTTTAAGCCTTGTTCTCGCCTCAGCAAACTCCACTAAAATGTCACGGGGACCTTTGCGCTTGTTCGAATTTGCGGAGCCCAACCGATACGCATTGATTATAAACGGGGCTATCCCTTCCTCAAGTTTTAAAGTCACAGCCAGCCAGTGTGAAATAAACATAGCTACCTCAGATGTACCTTCCGCTTGCTCAGCAATCCCCCAAAACTTTAAAAATCTCTCTCTAGATTTATGCTCCAAATAAAATATCTTGTCCCTTGTCCAAGTAACCTGTAACCGTTGAACATCTCCCTGGTTAGTGATCGCGGCTTCCAAGGCAGTCTCTGCCGTCTGGGAGATTTTGTTCATTGCGGTAGTTAATTCCTCCAGCTGATCAGCCATGGGCTTTATCATGTCGCTGATCTCAGATAAAATTTCTTTCTTAACATTTTTAAGGACTTCGCAAAGATCGCTCTTCGTAAGTCCGCATGAATTGGAGCCCGAAGCGGCTTCTCTGTCAGCCATTTTATGGCCCTTCGCTTTACCACTGATGAAATCGTCCGATGGAGACTCCGACACAAAAAGAGATCGTGTGGACTTCAGACCAGGGGCCGCTGGTTTAATATAGTCTTTGCCAGTTTTGCCCATACTTTGACTGAAAATTTTCGCCTTACTGCTAATTATCTCTAGGTAAGGGGAGAAACGGGCTCCAGAGACGGTTCAACAGGCGCCTGCCATGCACGAGCCGAAGCCCCGCCCCCCCCGACTTTGGATCTGATGATGATTTATTCACAGCAGACAAAACTTGCCTGTGTGGTTCCTTCCCACACTAGTAAGTTAATGTTAGAAGTTCTGAATTATAAGGAAGAATAAATGACATTTCTCTTTTCACTATAAATGTCATTCCTACTGTGACACTCCGTGGGGTCTTCCAGAGTGGCCCCTGGTCTCTCATGCCATCCTAGGGGTTTGGGAAGGAGGGGGAGGAGACATCTAGGGGGAACATGGCTTCTGTAGTCTCAGAATTAGGAGCCAGGTGGTTATGTCACCTTCCTTGGAGTCCCTGACTGCTACTGCCCTTCTCTCTTGCAGTACCTCTAGGCAGTTAGCCGGTCCTTATCCTCCCTGACTTCAGCATTCCCTTCCACCCTTTCATCTGTCCCCCCCTTTCCACCACTGCCCCACTACCCTCTCTCCCACTGGCTCCTCTGCCTCTCCATCTCCTTGGGGACCCTATTGGGTGAGAGACGGTCCCTTCTTCTCTTCTTGGCCCTGCCTTCCACTTCTCTCCCACCCCTCCAGCTCCCTGGGTGTGGCTCCTATTCATAGTCCCAGTCCAGAAACCACATCAGCTGCCATTCCTCCTCTGCCACCAAGGAACTCCTCATTGATGCAGGTAAGCTGTCCCTCACTGCCTCCAGCCACCCTCCCTTGTGTTGGAAATGTATGTATTTACAATGTCTGACAATCCAGTCATTATAGGGTTAACTTGTTTACCTAGTATTGCTATTGTTTGACTGACCTGGAAGGGATACCTGGCATTGAGCCAATGGGGAATTAGCCCGGAAAAAGTAGCTTCTATTGTGATACAGATTGGTTGTTTGTTTCAGGTGACTTCCTTTCTAGGGGTCGAGAAGAAGGACAGATTCTCCATTATCTCTGTGTTAGTGTTGAACTATAGGCAGCTTAGAAAATGTAGCTGTTAGATGTTCTGTTTACTTGTAGTTTTCCTGTGTACCTTCACCCTTAGAAATAAAGGTTTTTAAAGGCAAAGAAATCTCTTCTTTCCAATAGAGCAAGATCCATTGATACTCTGAGTAATTTACATACTTTTGACTATTTTTACACCACCTTGCTGCAGTCATCGCAGAGGTGTGGCCTGGCGCATCCCAGCTGTTTCACCTCCCCGGAGCTTGGCGTTCTCCTCAGGGGGTCTGGCTGCCAGCCCTGTTTCTCTTTTCAGGGTTGGTGCCATAGGCCCCCAGGAGGCGAGCTGCCAGCATCGCCAATGGGAGCAGGGCCGGCTGACACAGACCCAGGTGCGCTTGGTGAGGGTCAGCTGCAATGCTTCTGGGGGGTTCGCCTGTCCTCGCCTGATGTCAGGCCCACTACAGCCCCAGCTGTGGTGGCATCAGGAACTCCTGGGCCCAGACTTGGACACCTACCAGATATTTGGGCAACTACAGGCATGGAAGGAACCACTTTGTGGGCTTCTCCTATGTGACTTGGGGTTCTAGATAGTACTGTTCTTGTGAATGAAAGAGCTACTCTGCAGTAGTTTCCACAATATGAACAGTATGCCTGTGTTATGAACAAAAAATGGAAGATCAGGGTCTGAACGGCTCACCCAGGCCTGATACAAAATTTGGCATTCTGTAAGAAAGGTCCATTTTAGTCAAAGTTTGTTGGGTACACTGAGACATGTTGATAGGATGAAGACGCAGTGGGGAATTTGATGGGAACAGGACTGCTGGTTCCTGTTCTAAGTGGGCAGCAGAGTTTCCAGAGTACCTCTTACAGAAACCATCAACTGATAAGGAAGAAGGTTGTTTGTTGACAACTCTAGTTTCAAATAAGAAATATCTATATTTATATATCTCACCAAAGACTTGCTCAGATGATTTTCAACTGACACTGAAAGGGATCCAGAAATAATGAACTATCAAAAGAAAAAGAAAAAGTATTAAACTGTAATTCACACAACATTTACAGAACAATTGTCTCTATTTAGAAACAATGGGATAGATGTTAGATAACAGCATATTGTCTCATTAAGCTTAACTAGTATCATCTTTAAAGCAGAAGAAACACCGGTCTTCTGGTTACCTTAGGTTTCTACCTCTTGCTCCAGCAGCAATGCATGTAGAAATAACAAAGAGGCCACACATTTTTCTTAGGCCCAATCTGCATCTTGTATTTGCTCCGCTGTTTTACTAAACCCACAGTGGAACAGAAAAAGATGCAGCTCAAAATCACATTCAAATACCCTGGGCTAATGCCATATTGACTTCTGAGTCACCCCTGCATGGCCATAAAACAACCATAAATCTATGCAGATGGTTCCATAAAATCGAGAGATCAAACAAAGTGAAAGTGGCATGCAGTCTGGACACTGCCATAAAATCTGACAATCAATCAAAGTGAAAGTGTCATGCAATGTAGAAGGGAATTTCTGTTCCAGCCTGCATTTTGGTAAAACAGCAGAGCAGATGCTAGATGCAGATTGGGCCTTAGCCTGCCTATTGTTTTTAAACTCGTGATTATGGCTTTTGAATGAAAAATAGCCCTTTTTAAATTGGTGTTAAATTATATCAACCTAGATGATTACTGTCAGGGCTCTCCTTCTTAAGGTTTTGTCTTTCTCAAATAAAAGTATTGTCATGGGTGAGAACAAGGGAATTCCAAATCCTTGTGTCTGCATTCTGTCAGATTCCTGGACAATTGAGCACCCAACAACACTGAGGCTATAGCAAGTTTCAAGCTGTGACTTTCTGTGTCAGAACTGATATTTTGGCGCCAACCCTGAAGTTATACAGGGTTCTAACAAGCTCCCCCCACCCAGTGAACCCTCCAATCACATTCCTTGCATAAACCCTTTGGTGAACATCTGACTCCATTTCAGAGATCCTTCCATCATCTCATAAGAACATAAGAGACGCCAATGTTGGATCAGGCCAAAGGCCCATCCAGTCCAACACTCTGTGTCACACAGTGGCCAGAAATACCAGTGCCATCAGGAGGTCCAGCAGTGGGGCCAGGACATTAGAAGCCCTCCCACTGTTGACCCCCCCCCAAGCACCAAGAAGACAGAGCATCACTTGCCCCAGAGCCCCTAGCTATACCTTGTGGCTAATAGCCACTGATGGACCTCTGCTCCATATGCTTATCTAATTCCCTTTTGAAGCCGTCCATGCTTGTAGCACCCACCACTTCCTGTGGCAGTGAATTCCATGTGTTAATCACTCTTTGGGTGAAGAAGTACTTCCTTTTATCCGTTCTAACCCGACCGCTCAGCAATTTCATGGAGTGCCCACGGGTTCTTGTATTGTGAGAAAGGGAGAAAAGTACCTCTTTCTCTACCTGCTCTTTCCCATGCATAATCTTATAAACCTCGATCATGTCACCCCTCAGTCGTCTTTTCTCCAAGCTAAAGAGCCCTAAGCGCTTTAACCTTTCCTCATAGGGAAAGTGTTCCAACCCTTTTATCATTCGAGTTGCCCTTTTCTGCACTTTTTCCAAAGCTATAATATCCTTTTTAAGGTGTGGTGCCCAGAACTGCACACAGTATTCCAAATGAGGTCTCACCATTGATTTATATAGGGGCATTATTATATTGGCTGATCTGTTTTCAATACCCTTCCTAATAATCCCCAGCATAGCATTGGCCTTCTTTATTGCAGTCACACACTGTCTCGACATTTTCAGTGAGTTATCTACTACAACTCCAAGATCTCTCTCTTGATCTGTCTCTGCCAGTTCAGACCCCATCAATGTGTATTTATATTTAGGATTTTTGGCTCCAATGTGCATCACCTTGCACTTGGCCACATTGAACCCCATTTGCCATGTTGACGCCCACTCGCCCATCCTTGACAGATCCCTTTGGAGTGCCTCACAATCCTCACTGGTTTTCACCACCCTGAACAACTTTGTATCATCCGCAAATTTAGCCACTTCACTGCTTACTCCCATCTCCAAATCATTAATGAACAAGTTAAAAAGCAGTGGACCAAGTACTGATCCCTGTGGTACCCCACTGCTTACCCCCCTCCACTGGGAGAACTGCCCATTTATACTCACTCTCTGTTTTCTATTAATTAGCCAGTTTTTGATCCATAAAAGGACTTGTCCTTTTATCCCATGATTTTTGAGCTTGCTTAGGAGCCTTTGATGAGGAACTTTATCAAAAGCTTTCTGGAAGTCAAGGTAAATAATATCTATTGGATCCCCCTTGTCCACATGTTTGTTCACCCCCTCAAAGAACACTAACAGGTTAGTGAGACAAGATCTTCCCTTACAGAAACCGTGCTGAGTCTGCCTCAATAGGTTTTGTTCATCTCATCTGTCTGTTACCTTAGGACTACTAAAGTACCTATCATTGTGATGGCCAGAGAGTTTATAGAGCATTCGGGATGCGTGTGTGTGCATGCTGTACACTGTGGGATGTGTTGAAGATGAAGAGACATGTGGAAGCCCAGGACAATTATGGAAGACAACATTGTGTACAGAAGCGGAGTTGTATTCATTTCTCCGTATAAATTAATGACTATTGTTCACGGAGACAGGAAAAGACACAGATCTTGATGGGGACTTAACTAAATCCTGATGATGAACTGATGAACCCATGAAGATAGATTTAGGTGGGTAGCCGTGTTGGTCTGAAGCAGCAAAACAAAGTTTGAGTCCAGTGGCACCTTTAAGACAACAAAGTTTTATTCCTAGTATAAGCTTTTGTGTGCACACACACTTCTATAAGTGGACTCTAATCTGTGAGAGCCGGGTTTGATTCCCCACTCCTCCACTTTCACCTGGCTGGATGGCCTTGGGCAAGCTGTAGTTCTGATAAGAGCTGTTCTTGAAAAAGAGCAGTTTCTGTTAGAGTTGTCTCAGCCCCACCTGCCTCACAGGGTGTATGTTGGGGGAGGGGGATGGAAAGGAGTTTTTAAGCCGCTCTGAGACTCCTTTGGGTAGTGAAGGGCGGGGTATAAATCCAGTCCTCTTCTTCTTCTTCAGGTGTGCATGCACATAAAAGCTTATACCAGGAAAAAAACCTCTGTTGGTCTTAAAGGTGCCACTGGACTAAAACTTTATTTTCCTGATGAACCGAGTCACTGAGAAACTGGCAGCAGTCCACATAGCTCTGGCCTCTGTTTTGTGGACATGTTCGTGTGTGAAGGAACATTGAGAATGATGCCCAGTCCTTAAGGTTCAAGGCAACTAACATTTATTTCCTTCATTTTCAAAGTAATCATCTTTCTATCCCATTTTACAGATATTAAACCAAGGTAATGAAGACACAGAAAATAGACAACTGAACAGGAATTGCATCAGTTCCAAGGATTAAATTCAGGATTATTAACACTGAAACACTTTAGCTCTCAAAGACAATTTAGTACTTACAAATATTGCACCCCAGAATGGATAACCTCCAACTGCAGCCAAAGGTATGTAGACTTGACCAAAAACAGTTAATGAGACAGCCCCAAAGCCGATGTGCATCAGTCCAATCATGATCTGAATGGCCTGTGGGAAGAAAATACAAGATAAGGCAACTCCTTTAGACCAGGGAAGAGACAAGTTCTGATCATTTAGCACAACTTGGAGAATCATTTGGAAACAGGGGAAATGCTCATTCGGTCTATTCCTTTTGATCAATTTCAAACTGAAACAGGATATTTACCAAGAACTCACCAGTGAACCAGTGAACTGCCTTGACGTGGGGAGGGGGCTTGC